ATACATCAATATTAACACGTGATCATTAATATGCTTTCATTGATTGCAATTATGCGCTTAAATGCGCAAGAAATGCGCTTCTCTTTCCCGCACTGTGTGTATGTATGTGTGCGTACGTCTATTTCTGAAATGAAGTGATAACGTCAACAACAAGTGAGCAATGATGAAGCTGACCAGGTTGGGTCTTCGAGTGCAAAGTTAAACGTCGAGTATTCGGCCGCAACCGATGACTGTCGCGAGCGGGAGGGGCGGGGAGAAGAGGGCCGACACGAGGATAAGAGGCAGGGAAGAAACGACGGATATAATCTCGGCTCATGTATATAATAAATTACACTCGTCACAAACGGCGCGCGCTATCGCGACCAGACACGTTCGCAGCAAGATGGCCTTTTATCTCATTGAAGCTGATACACATTGATCATCCTTTCTCGCTTTCTCTCCTTCCGCCACGAGCGAAACCGCGGCCGCGATCGGAAAAGTCCGCGACGTTCGCGTTGTCAGACTAACCGACGCCAAATCGCTGACGATATCGCCGATAAAGACGCTTTCCCGCGGAAAACATCTGGCTTTTACGAATTAGATGGTTTCCAAGGTTCAAGTTTGACTTGAAGAAAGAATTTTCATTCGGTCAATTTCAACGGTCAGAGAATTAAGGCGAAGCAACCTGGACCGAAAACAAGCGCAAAAACTCGGAAAATAGGAAACAATAATAGAGAGACGCGAGACAGGTAGCCGTAAACATTTGGCGAAATTAACAAATATTCCATAGAATTCTAGAATAATATGTTTCCCAAGAATGCAGACTGCATTCTAGATTTTAGCTTTTTTTTTTTTCTAAAAAAGTTTTGCGCATAAATGAGGAGCCACGCTTAACTTGGCTTAATAATCACAGAATATTATATAAAATATAATACATTATTATTTTTCTTTGAAAGCTTCGAGAAAGAAATAGAAAATCGAATATCAGTCGAAGCAAAAGCGTTATAACTGCGAAGCGAAGGAATAAAAAAACTCAGGCTTGTCGTCTCGCAAATGTTGATCCATTTAGACGTGCTAAAGTAAAGACTTAAATCGCATCGAGCGGAGATTAACTATTCAATATTCTCATACCTCCTGTAACTAAAAATCATATTTTTCTATTCAGGTTATATATAATGAACGGGGATTATTTAAGTAAACGCGTATAATTACACATTATTGCATAATATACATTCAATATACATTCAAAATCTCATAAATCTCATATTTTGGTTTCGAATAATGGCTCTGACAAAAATACATTTAATCTAATTAAATTATTAGTATCATATTTTTATACTTTATTTATTAATTTTACTTTATTTATATCAGTTTAGTGAGCACAAATAAATTTATTGATTTATATGGATACACAATCATAAAATCATTTATATAATAAAAAAATGAAAAAAAGAGAGCACTAAAACGCATGATGAAGAAGATATATTGTTTGTATATTATTTCATAGTGTAACATCTCTACGGTAATTATATTATTTCACTTTTTTTTAAAAAAATATAATGCTAGATGGAATATATATTTGTCTCGCAATAAAGCTTGCAATTAAAGATTATAAATTATTTATTACTGTGTATTATTTTCAAAAATTTTCGATATCTAAATAGTAAATTTAAAATCTAGAAATTTACTTATATTTCATTTATTTAAAATTCATCAACATTATCATGAAATTATTTTAACGAAACAAATTTCGTGCAATACGAAATGCGTAACAAAATACATAATAAAAATAAATTTAAAAAAGATAAAGAATTTTTAGAAATTTTCAAAGAAATATTTGTAAATATTTTTTTTTTTGTCAAACACTAATTAATGATAGCTCGTAAATTTACATTCAAATAAAGACACTTTAATTTTCTTTAGCAATGTTACTTTATGCTAAGCATTGGCGTACGCGTGATTAATGCATTGGTTTAATTAATCGACGACAAGGGACAATCAATTACGTTTGTTTACAAGCAGTACGTGTTGCTTACGACAGTCTCGACCGGTTGATTAAGAGCAAATTAATGTTACTTGAAGGTGAACTGTGTTATCACATCTGGCTATGTAATCCCGTTGCTTTCAACTTCCGAATAATTATCGCCTATTGCGTTTTCACATTATTCCACTCGATAGTTGATAGCGATTACAGCTTTGTAATCAGACAGAGTAAATATAGAATATTTTGAATATTATCAGATTATTATTTTTGAAATATCGTTTGTTAATGAAGTTAATATATCGACATTTTTCAAAGAACGTCATATAAAAATAAAATAATCATATAACATAATGATTTACGATACAGATCTTATTTTCCGATTGCGATTTCGTCCTTCAATCTTAAGAATTTCAATTTAAATATTAATTATCTTTTGATTTTTGCTGGCGATAAATTCATCATATCAAATTTTCTCAGAAAGCAAAATCAGTCATCTTGCACATATACCACGCACGATGACCTTTGAATAATCTTTCTAAATGTCAATCTGCGATATAATTACGCCTTTAAATTCTACTTCCCAACTAGAAGATATGCGCCAACGAATGATGAATCATCAATAAATCAGTATGTTAAACGCAAATCTATTTTTGCAGTTCAATAAATTAATGATTAAAGTCGTGAAGGCTTGTGATGTTCTCAAAATAACAGTCATCTATATTTACTTGTACTTTTCACATTCTCGTCTCGTAAATTAACATTTCATATATAATCAAGAAAAAGAATCTTAGATTTAAAATAGTAACTTGTTGTAAAAATATTTACGTATATAATTATTAATAGACGTACATAAAGATGTATGTCCAGGCATTGATAAAGTATTATTAAGCATAACGTAACAAAATTTATCATATTAAAATAAATAAAGTCCACGAAATAAAGTCCAAGATGTTTTGTGGCCAGATCTTTGCCAGGATGTACCCGTCGCACGTCTCAGAATCACACCTGATACGTGTTAGATTCAATCTGCCTCCGTTCCGTCGCACTTTCAAATCAAGCAAATTCCTCAGCATCGCAGCAGCGACAATCGCGACAAAGTTCATAAAGATTAATAAACTGTTTAATGAGTTACAAATTTGAGTTATAGTTACTATTTGGAACTCGTAGATACTAAAATATAAATTTATCCCTGAGATAATTGAAACTAAATAAATCGTTACCTTAAGAAAAAAAAAAAAAAAAAAAATAACTTTAAATAATAAGCTTTGAAAACGAAATTCAATTTTTCAAAACGGAGATTAGACCAAAGAATTTATAATCGCTTTTTAACCTAATATTTATACAATTTTTCTTCAGAAAAACAAAACTCAGTTATATTCATGATAATGAATGAATCTCAGCGTTCACAAAGATACAAAATCATTTGAGTATCTGTTACAATTTCTGTATCGTCGAATTCTATATTCATTAAGCCAAACTCTCATATAAAATTATATTCTCACTAAACTACATAATTCAGTTTTAACAAAGTTATTATGTAAAACTGGTTTCATAATCTGGTTTGAATAATCTGAGATCGGCTCCTTCGGCTAATCATATTTTCAGACAACGTTTTACTGATTTCTTCATTAATACAGATTTTAAGATTAATACTATTTAAAAAATCGTTTTTAAATGCAATTTTTGTATATAATTGCGATATATGTTTAATGTATATGTGTGCGTACATAAAACTACACTCTAATACTTATTAAATGTATACAGAATTACAGAATTTTATATGTATATTGTCAATCGTATACAAACGTACATACATATAAATTTTCTCTTAATGGGACAAAAAAATATGTAAAGTTATGCTATAATGTAAAAATAATTGATGAGAATTAGAGATCGGATAAAGGAAAAACTATGATCTATTAATATAAGATGAAAGAAGACTTGTCAATTTTATAACAATTTGTGATTACTGACATTAATAAAAAATTTTTTATATATAAATTTATCTATAGGTAGTTCTCTGCTATAAGAATAATTTAAGTAATACACTAAAAGCTACTTTGTCATACAAAAATATTTTGTAGTTGAATCAAACAATTTTATTTCCCGACGATTTCAATAAGTTTATGTAACATGTTTTTACTTGAGAAAGAGAATGCAAATTTACAAAAAAGTCATTAATTAAAAAAATTAGAAATACTAACAGTAAATATCTTCATGTAAATATTGGAAATTTTTAAAAAAATGTACATTTTTTTAATTAAAATAAGAAATTTTGCTAATATTTTTCTTAATGTTTCCTTTTTATATTTTTTATAATTATTTGATAAAAATAGAAAAAAATATACTACATTATTTTAAATTATATATAAATTATAACAAAATATTATTCATTTCTGGTTGAACACTGATGACTGTGTCATCATTGTCAAAATGTAATAGAGTTTTATTATAGTTTTGTTATAATTTTGCAATTGTATATTTGACAATCAGAAAGATATATGTAAATAAAA